GTTAACACCCAGAAAAGATGCAGCCAACCCAGCGATTCACAAAAACCCACGAAGGCAAAGGCAAAGAGGGGAAACAGCTTGGTACTCTTGCCCTGGGATGCGCCTCACTTGGCAAGGCCCAGGACCTGTGAGCTGCAGCGAAGGGCAGGCGGCTCAGCCAAGGATACGGCTTCGGTCTGTGCGGGGACAGGGACAGGGACAGGGCCTCAGCCTGCGCGGGGATATGGACCTGGGACAAGGCCTGGGCGGAGACAGGGACGGGGGAACGGCCTCGGCTTTCGTGGAGACAGGGACAGGGCCTCGGCCTACACGGGGACAGGGACGCAGGACACGGGCTCGGCCTGTGCAGGGACAGGGACACGGGCTCAGTCTGCGTAGGGACATGGACCTGGGACAAGGCCTAGGCGGAGCCAGGGCACGGCCTCGGCCTGCGTGGGGACAGGGGCCCGGCCCAGCCTGCGTGCGGCTCTGGCACCCGCGAGGTCCGCCCGCCCCACATACACCGGGACCAGCAGGGCGTGTGAGCCTCAGCCTTCCCCCGCACCTTTCTCCTCTGTTCAGAGGCCGAGACTTGACTGCGCCCAGCCTGGGGTCCGCACAGCGGTGCATCCTGGGAGGAGGACTCCTCCACGCCTGGGGGCGTGGTGGGGGGAGGGCGGGGGTGGGAGCCGGGATGGGGGTGGGGGGAGCCAGCAGGCAACCCGAATACTGCACGGGAATGACAACAGCATCCTGTGTGGGGGCCCCATTCGTGGCAGGTGCTGTACCTGGCCTGCGCTTCTCTCCCTCTTTTTTTTTTTTTTTTTTAAGATTTTATTTATTTATTTGACAGAGAGAGACACAGCGAGAGAGGGAACACAAGCAGGGGGAGTGGGAGAGGGTCCCGCCGAGCAGGGAGCCCGACGCGGGGCTCGAACCCAGGACCCTGGGACCACGACCCGAGCGGAAGGCAGATGCTTAACAACTGAGCCACCCACCCAGGCGCCCCTGGCCTGCACTTCTCTTAATGGGCACCTGACATTGTAACACAGACCTGTAACACGGGCTGAGTAACTTGCCGGAGCTGCCCTGCTAGTGCATAGCACAGCTGGGATTCCAACCTGGGTTTTTTCTAGTTCCAAACGCGGTGCCCTTGTTACTGCAACTACACAACCTCTCCAGAGGGTAAATAACATTGTAACTGGTCTGTAGACTGTTCACAACTTCCGGGTCCAGGGAGAGGCAGCTGGAAGGAGTTCTAGAATAATTCTTTAAGCCCAGGTAGGCAGTGATCTCCTATTACAAGGTTGAATGAACAGCCATAGATCAACAAATAGAATACAGGTAAAAAGGAGCAATGAAAAATCTCCAGGAAAAGAGGAAGAGCATTATTTCTTTGAATATTTGATTAAAATATAAATCTATGAAAATCATTTATAGGGGAGATAGTGTAGTGTAGTAGTTAGGAAAACAGGCTTTGGAAACAGACAGCCCTGGGTTCAAATTCTGACTCTTCAATTTACTGACTTTGGGATATGTGGCCTCGGGACTTTTTAATGTTTTTAATAGCCTTTTAAAAAGCTAATTTCCTCATGAGTAAAATGAAGATAATAATTCCTCCTTGCAGGGTGTCCTAAGGATTATATGATATAAAGTCTACAAAATGTTTAGTATAAGATCTGGTAAAAATAAGTACTGAGAAAATGATAGTTATTTTTGCTAGGTAAGTGCACAAAAAGTCTGAGGTGATGTATGTTCCTAATAATTAAACAACTTGATTATTAAATTTTATTAAGTCTTAAGTCTTAATATGTTTTCCATGAAATAAAAGCAAAAAGGCATCAAGGAGAGCCCAGGATGAGATAAAATGACAATCAAGGATTTGAGATACGGGCAGAGATGGATGAAAGATTTCAAGGAAGTGGAAAAATAATCACAGATTTAATACCTGCTTTGGAGGTGATGATGAGTTGAACTGACATTGGAGAAAATCAAATCAGGTATAAAGAAGTGAAGAGTTCAGACATTCTCCCAGAGTACACAGAAGAACAAACATCAAGGTGCTAAGAGAGGAAGATAAGCATGGGGATAAAAGCAGAAACTCCATTTACAAATGATGACTTAAAGAACATCTGCGATGGTATAGAAGACTCATGTTCTAGGTAAGAGTACTCAAAAGAGAACCAGATCTAGATAGAATCTCAGGACATTTTTGCATTTCAAGGACAAGAAATTATTTGGGATGCAGCATTTGAAAAATCACAGTTAACTTAAAAATAATCAGTTGAGGAGGGTCTCATCTTTCTCCTCCAGAACAACCAAGAATAGAAAACAATGGATCACTAATTTCTACCCATGAAACTAATAATACAGTATATATTAAGTAAATCGAATTGAAATAAAAAATTAAAAAGAAACTCTTTGAAACTAAAAAAAATAAAAAAGAACAACAAAAGAACACAATAGAGCAAAATGGCAACAGTTTAAGAAAAGTTGCAACACAAAAACTGGTCTCAGACAAATCGCCATTTAGGTCAACAAAAGGAATGGCAACCAGAAGAGACATTCTGATATACAAGGTCTCAGAAAATATACCCGTCTTCCTAGGAAGGTTGCTGAGAGGTATACCCCAGTTGTCTTTCCTGGAAACTCTACCGGAGAGGAATCAAAATTAAGATTAGCTCATTGGACACACTGTGAATCAAGAGGAAAGAAGAGTTAAGACTAAGTGATCAATATAATAATAGTGATAAATATAATAATGATAATAGAATGGAAAAAGCAAAAGTAAAATTTGGAGAAGATACATAATGTTAATTTATTGGGAATAGCGATGTGGCTTATGAATTCAGATGACATTAGCAATGGCCGGAGAGCTGGAGGGGGTGGGTAGGTGAAAGTGAATGAAATGTTGCACAGAATGGAGTCTATACTTACAGCTTTAGGCTTGGCTTTGATGACTAAAAGAGGAATTTTCTAGAAAGACATGGAAAGAAAAGGAATTATCTAGAAAGATAATGATTTGTATAGTTTTAAAAACAGTAGGTGTGTTTTCTAAATAACTACAAGACATAAATACAGATTACTAACAACCCATATGCAACCCAAGAGAAAACAAAAGGAAATGTCAAGAAAGAATAAACTAAAATGGCAAATACGTAATTTATGACAAGAAAAATCATCAGAAAAGTTAAAACTATGTATGCTATACTTCCATAAAAAGGAATAACTTTGATTATTAAAAAGGAAAAACTTTTCAATTATATTTATATTATAAAATCTATTTATTTCTTATCTGCTGCTTATATACTTGACTCTTGAAAAACGTGGGGGTTCGAGGTGTTAACTCCTATGCCATAGGAAAATCCATGTATAACTTTTGGCTCCCCCCAAAACTTAACTACCAGGAGCCTACTGTTGGCCAGAGCCTTACTGATACCATAAACAGCTAACACATATTTTGTATGTTCTATGTATTCTCTGTATTCTTACAATAAAGTAGGCTAGAGAAAGGAAAAGGTTATTAAGAAAATTGTATGGCTGAGAAAATACATTCACAGTACTATACTGTATTTATAAAAAAAAAAAAATCCAAATATAAGTAGACCTGTACAGTTTAAACCTGTATTGGTCAATGGTCAACTGTTCATGATCAGACCAAAGAAATCATTCCAAAGGGTTTACTTTAGAAGTCACGTAACAGAGGTGGGAACCTCAGACCCTGGTCTTGAAAGGTCCCGATGCACGTTAGATACTACAGTGATTTTTCTCACCGGCTTGGTTCACGGCTCAAGTAGCAGAGTCAGGAAAGACAATAATAGACTGCATGAGAGTTCGAGCATCATCTGTCCTACATACCACTATCCCAGCTGGCATGCCACTGTGTTTGAGTCCAGCCTCCCACAGTGGATTTGTCACCACTGACCTATAACAGTTGCAATGACACATCTTCCCTGGAGATGGGCCTTTGCCATCCCCCAAAGACTATTCAAGAACAAAACAAACAGTGCTATTAATTTACTTTTTGCAATGCTATTAAAAGAAATGCTGCTGATGAAATCGTGATGGCTTCTTTCTCCATGCGAATCTAGGAAGTGCAGAGTACTGTTAAAGATCCTATTCCCAAATCTCCATCTGAAGGTGTGCTGACATTCTTTTTTTGCCCATATGGACCTTGGAGAGAGTTGGGCTATTTGTGATTACTCTCAAGTGTGACTTTGATTCTACTATTAGTTTGTAATAAAACTCGCCCATATGGTAGAAAAGCTGTTGGCAATTAATTTTATTTTCCAGTTACCACTTCCCTTCCCTTCCATGTAATCATCAGATCATTCCTTATACATATCAAAAGTGACACACAATTAAAAGAGCAAATGCCATGTTCATGCTAAAGATGCCACATGATGTCAAAAATGATTTACTTGCCAACAATCTAGTGAGTAAGGGAAATATCTTTATTGCACAAAAAAAGAGCAAAGTCAGAATTTTGGAAGACAATTTACAAGAAAACTGACAGTCAAATTCCAATTCTATTATACATGAGAAAGCTATACTACTCTTTTGTTTTGTTTTCAGAAATGAACAACAAAAACACCCAGCAATTGAGCAATAGAAAATATCCTTTTCTCTTCTTAGCAAATAAAAATAGTTTAGCTTCTGGGAAACCTGCCAGTCCTTATTACAATTTATTAAATACTTAAAAAAAACCAAAAGCCATAAGCAATTCTAAATGTGCTGCCGGTATGTTCATTTTATGGGACTAAAGGGAGAAATGTGCCTGATAGGAGTCCTAAAGCACTTAAAAAACACAAGGGCTGCCAGGATGCCACAGACAATCCCAAGCACCAGTCCTAGAAGATATCTTTGTTGTAAATGCGTGTTTGAAACTCCATGGCTTTCAGTGACTAGGTAGACTCTTGTCTCAAACCAGACTAAAGATACCTGAACCTTTCTCACTGGGAAAGAAATCGTACCCTGATCACATGCCATTTCTCAGTTCTTCTAAATATCAAAGAACTGTATTTGCTTTGAAAACAAAGTTTCCAAAAAGGAAAAATGCAAGCAATAACTGGCTATACACAAACATGTATTTCATTCAGTGCAGAGTAACAGTTGCGTCAAACTACTTGGTGTAGCCCAGTGTCAATGGGAAATTGAGGAAGGGATCACTGTTTTTCCCAGATCTTAAAAAATAACCTAGTGAGTTTTGTAATTAGGAGCAGATCCATGGTGTTAGCTCTACAGGCTTTGATTTGTGTTGTTCAGTTCCATCATCCTTAGAATAATCAGGAAAACTTAGAATTGGTTTGCTACTCTGGGCTATGACAATATAGTCAGGAAAGGCATTTTATCAACACTGTTTTCAAATAGGCATTTTAATAGAGCAAGACAACTTTGTACACTGTCATAAATGACAAGACCAATTAAAGTTGTATTTAGGTCAAGTTTCCCAACACCTGGGCCGTCCAAGTCTGCTGAATGCAGCCTGATAAGAGGTGGAAGGAGTAACAGCCGGTCAGACCAGAGCGTGAGGAGGTGCTTGGCGACTAGAAGAACAGTACCTTTGGGGATGGTGTTCACATTGTTGTTGACTTGGGATGGTGTGCTTTTCAGCCTTTCTATCACTTCAAAGATGCCACCAAAAAATCCCACTATTCAGATGGTACAGAGAACACACATATGTTGACAACCACTGTCCTTGTGTTTTCTCCTCTCTCCTCTCCTGTGCAGAATTGCTCTCTCAGACTTCACCAACAGCGACCTAAGGGTCAAAGCACCCAGTGCTTCTTCTCAGAGATACTCAACTCCATATGGATTTTCCTTCTCAAAGCCCTGCCTAAACCCTCAGTTTCCTCAGAGTATTTCTTGCTCTTCTGTCCTTGTCCTTTCCCTTTCCTCCTTCTTCTATCTAGGCCTTTTCTCCCTCCTCTCTCTAGTCTCAGGGTGATCACGCCTTGCCCCGTGATTCTCATCAGACCTCTCTGCATCTGCCTCCTGTGTTTGCTTGAGCACCATCCTTCTTTCAACACAGGACTTCTGTCTGTCTGCTGGACATCAACATGTGCTGATGAAAGCCTGAAGTCACTCAGGGGAAAACTGAACTCATTTCCTTCCTCACAAGACTTTCTACTTCCTTATTTCTGTGAACATCAGGAGCTTCAGCCACACGAGTAAAAAAATGGCTCCTGTCTCAGGTTGATCCTCTCTCCCCTTTTAAAAATTTAGATTTTTGTTTGTTTGTTTTCAGTTATATATGCATACATTGTTTTAAGACGCAAAGTCTTTTAGTTCTGGAAAATTTTCTTGAATTTCTTTAGTACTGTTTACTTTCCACGTCTTTTTTTTGCTCTTTCTGGAACTTCCATTATTCAGTTATTGAAACTTGTGGACGGGTCCTCGAATTTTCTTATAATTTTGCTCTCCTGTCTTCCAGTTTCTTTGTCGTGTTGCTGTACTTTCTAGATTTCCTCAACTTAGACTACATTTCTGTTATTTTCCATTTCTGCTATCATATTATTCATTTATACAAAGTTTATTTTTAATGTATTATCTTTTACAACCACTTATCTCTGAGGATAATCACAGACTAACTTCCTCCCCGCTTTATCTGTCTAGTTTGTTTTGGCTTCTCTTCCATGTTTAGAGAGTTTCCCCAAATGCTTGATGATCCTTGGCTGTTCACTCATACTTAAGAGTTGGGCATTTAAATGCCCATCAGGAAGTCTATGCACATGGGTGCAGTTTGTGACCATGGGCTTCAGAGTAGGGTTAGTTGGTGGAGAAATTTCTCTGGGGGACCCTCCAGTGTATCCTCAGATCTTTTCTTTGGATTGGTCAGATTCCTCAGAAAAGTGACATCTGGTCTCTTGGGGGAGAAGGCTGGGGACAGCAGTGGTTCTCAACATTCAGTTGTCTAATTAATCCCATTTTCAGTGTGCTATGCCTATCCTCAGATGTGCCTGGTGTTCCCCAGTCCTGAGACCCTGTTTTACGTTCTCTGGGAAGTAAGCTTCTCATGTACCTGATTCAGGGAGTGCACAATGGCTTAACTACATGAAATCAGGCAGAGGATCTAGAAATAATTCTCGAATAGGCTTTCAATCAACCATTCCTTGGTTTACAGTGTAGTACTTGACACTCCAAAGTCTTCAGGGGGATCCACCTGGTAACCAGGATGCTTCTCATTTTTCTCCATTGCAGCTAAGGATTTGGTTTTCTTAGGTCTGCTAAGTCAGTCTTGTGTCTCATTGCTCCTGATTTTGGCTCCTTTACTCTTGTTGCAGTGGGTCTCTGCAGGGAGAGCTGGATGCAGGTACTCAGCCAGGACTTGCTGCCCCTGTTCCATTTCCACTGCCCTTAACTCCAGTGGAGTTTCTGCAGGACTCTTTCCAATCTTGCTACTTGTCCACCTAGCCACTATATTGCTACCAAAGTCACTTTTTTCCAAACAGAAAACCCGTCATTTACTCAAAAACCTTATTGCCTATAAAACAGTCCAAACTCCTTATCAAAGGTCCTGGATGATCTGACCGCCCCCCCCCCCCCCCCCCCCCCGCAATATCCCTTTCTGGCACAACTTATCATGAAGAAGAGGATGAGAGGATGTTGGAACCGGACTGCCTGGATCAATTCTCTTGGCTCTGCCACTTGATCAGCTGGGTAATCTTGGCCTAGTTATTTAATCTCATCTGCAAAACAGGGATTATAATAGTACCTGCCCTCCAACATTATGGTGAGGATTATTAGAGCACTTACCACAGTGGCTGGCACATAGGAAGTACCATGGGAACGTTAAAGGTAAGCCTCTGCACGCCTGTCTCCTCCAGGAGATTATCAAGTCCTTGGAGAGGGCTCTATTCCCATTGAGTCAACATTTGTGGGATGCTTATAATGGGACAGACATGATGCTCTCCACTAGGGACTATGCAAAAAGAGCTTGGCACATGAAGACTGACTAATGATTAAAATAGGTGACAAATGCTACAATACAGGAAAGAACACAGTTAAGAGAATAGAAAGCAGGTAAGACCCAATGATTCAGAACAGTGGGGGAAGGCTTCACAGAGCCAGCATTTAAGATGGGGCTTGAGGAGGGGCGCCTGGGTGGCTCAGATGGTTAAGCGTCTGCCTTCGGCTCAGGTCATGATCCCAGGGTCCTGGGATCGAGTCCCGCATCGGGCTCTCTGCTCCTTGGGAGCCTGCTTCTCCCTCTGCCTCTCTCTCTCTCTGTCTCTCATGAATAAATAAATAAAATCTTTAAAAAAAAAAAAAAAAGATGGGGCTTGAGGAATGAATCTGTAAGACAAAAGGTTGTGCTGTTAAGACGGTGGGTGGGGGGAGAACGATAGGTGAGGCTGGAGAAGCAGGTTGGGGCCAATTGCACAAGGGCCCTGCATAACCTGTTTTGAGTCTGTATTTTGTTTCAACCAGTTTGTTAATTTCACCATCCTCCCAGGCTGGGAGTCCCAAAGACAATTTGGGGGTGTTACAAGTATTTTGTTATTAATAACAGCTGCAAGGCAGCTATCTGGCAATTATTTAAAAAATAAATTCGAACCCATTCCCCCAAAATGTTCAAGAAGTCAGACATAAAAGAACACATACCCTATGATTCCATTTATATAAAGACAAAACCGGGCAAAATTTAGTCTATGTTTTCCCAATTCGGGATAGTTGCCTTTCCAAGTGGATAGTGACCAGAAGGGGATCCAGGCAGAATTTCTGGGGTGCCAGGAGTTTCTTGATGAGGTTACTGGTTCCACAGGTATGTTGTTTATGAATATCCATCAAGCTGTATACTTATATGTGTTCTTTATCTATTTTTAGTTAAAACAATAAATTAGACTCATGATACTTTGTGCTCACTCGGACACACGTGTGTGTTCACTTCAAGAAGAGGTGGAGCTACAGGCTGGGAACTCATTGTGCAAGTATCATTAGTTTGGTGTTCCTTTACAGACTAACTCAAAAGAGCTCTTGGATATTCTGAACGGCTGAGGATAGCCAACGTCAGTCACCTTCACCACTACTAGGGCTTCCTGAGAGTGTGTGACAAATTGACTTATACCCAAGGGTCAGAGACTGAAATACCAGCACTCAGCGTACGCAGATGGCCCTTCCCCTCATTTTAGATATAACAAGTGGCTGATGGTTCCTTATTAACCTTATAGAGAAACACAGCTCAAAACCACATCTGTACATGCATGGCTTTTAAGGCATTCAACGTGTGTATACCCTTAGAAGCATAAAGAATCACGTTTGTTTTTTTGCTTTTCTGAAAAAAACTTATTTTCACTTAAAAAAAAATCTCTGTACCCAGTTAAAAACAAATAAATAAAAAAGTAAAAGAAGGTATTTAATGAGAAGTCAAATCTTTTACTTTAGATCTGTTTCTCAAGGTAACCACTGTTAGGACTCTCATATATTCTTATATAAATATTTTATAAACACAGGAAAGCATATATAAATGTATAAGTGTATTACACTTGCTCCCTTCTTTTCTTAAACAAATGGGAGGCCCATATATTCACTTTTGTTTTTTACTGCAGATGTAAACATGGATACAGCTCATTCTTTCCACAAGTATATAGTATTCTACTGAGTATATATATTATCTTATTTAACCAGATATTTATCTTTTGCTTTTGTAAACAATGTGCCTCAAATACTCCTGAATACACTTTCTTTAATGTGTTTCTTAAATTATGTAGAAACTACCCCAGTGTATACCAACTCTGTTACCAAACTTTTTGACCTCTGCATTTCCACTACCATTAGCATCTCATTGCTATCTTAAGTAGGAATTCTCTATTTAGTTCCGCTGATCTTTCCATTTCCACCTGAATGAGTACTGACCTGTTCTGATTACCACAGTCTTACTGCCTCCTCTCAAAAAGAATGCAGAATATAATTATTCATATCACAATTTATTTTTACTTATTTTTATTATTTTTTTAAGTAGGCTCCACGCCCAGTATGGAGCCCAATGTGGGGCCTGAACTCATGACCCTGAGATCAAGACCTGAGCTGAGATCAAGAGTCAGACTTAACTCACTGAGCCACCCAGGCACCCCTCACAACAATTTTAAATAGGAAAACTATCTACTGATTAAAAATTTGCTTTAAAGAATAGACTCATGTTCACAGAATAGACCATACACCTAAAAATACAGAGAACTCATCTCCTCTCTTAAAAAAAACCTGCTAAGATTTTTTTACACATCCCATTACAAGTAAATAACTGAGGGAAATAATAAGTATACTGGGTTAAATAGTGTCCCTCCCAAAATTCACATCTACCCAGAACCCGTGAATGTGACTTTATTTGGAGGTAGGGTCTTTGCCGATGTAATCAAGCTAGGATGAGGTCACACTGGATGAGTGGATGCTAATCCAGGGCTGGTATCTACAGGAGGGAAACTGGATACAGACACACAGGGAAAACCTCACGTGACAACAGAGGAAGAGACTGGACTGACACAGCTCCAAGTTATAGAACACCAAGGAGTGCCAGCAATCACCAGAAGACAGGAAGAGGAGGGGAAGGATTCTTCCCTAGCGCCTTGAGAGAAAGCATGGCCCAGCTGACACTTTGATTACGGACTTTTAGTCTCCAGAACTACAAGAGAATATATTTCCATTGTTTTAAGCCACTGAGTTTGTGGTAATTTGTTAACAGCAGCCCTAGCAAACTAATAGAATATCCATCTCAAATTTGTGTTAGGTCTGAACCACTGTAAATTTCAAGTGACATAAAACCGTTATCAGGTGACTTGTCATTTGAGGTATCTCTGTCAGTCACTAGGCTACTCTGAAAAGGGCAAAAGGACAGACTTGATTTAGAAAATGCTTTTGAGGGTATTTATTTATTTATTTTTACGATTATCTCATTAAGGCACAATTTATAGCAGGGAAAAACAGTTCCTGGAAATAAAATGCTACTGTTTTACAAAGCGTTCATACTCTCGTTATATATTGCCTCAATATGTTTTAACAACTTCAAAAGTGCCGTGGCATTATACGGGAAAAGATTTTTCTTCTGCAAACGGTAAATGGCACCTTGTAGCTCTTCAAAGCACTTCAGTGTTGTGTAAGATATTCCCACTTTGGAGACGTTATTTGGGACTCTATCACAATCAACAGAGAAGGGACTATGAGACTGTTTTGGAACCAGAGGCCTTGATTGAGGCTCTAGGCGAAGTTGTTTTTTATCCGTACCTGTTCCAACTGGGTCCTGAGATTTCTTCATTGCTTCTTGGTGTAAAGATGTTTGTTTACTGTTTGCTGAGTGCTGGTCTGTGCCTTCTGCTTCAGAATCATCAGAGCTGTCATAATCTACCAGACTTTGAGAAGCTCGTAGGGGAGGCAGATTATCAGCCTGGAGCGTGGCATGGGTCTCCTTGGATATCACAAGATGGCTCAGAGATCCAGAAGAAACATTAGAAGCCCAGGAGATCGAAGCATGAGCACTTCTGGGACTACCAGGAGCAGCTGAAGGGCTAAGTTCTGTTTGGTTGCTACTTCTGTCTTGGACAAGTGAGGAGCTACAACCACAAATATTTATGCTATCTTTAGATTCGGTTACGTCAAAATACTTGCAAATCGTGAAAAAATGAGCCCAGTCTTTTTGCAGTAATTTTAAATATCTAACAAAATATTCAAGGAAACAGGTTTCCGATGAAATCAAAAAGTCAAGAAGAACTGAAGAATCAAATCCTATGTTTTTCAGTAAGAATAAGAAAATACAGTGTGGATTATAGCCATACTCATGTGTGTGATGGTTCCACATTTCTTTTTCTTGAGTCGAGCTTTCAGTAGCTTTACATTGTCTGAAAATCAAGGTCACAGAGGCCCCAGATTAATGACTTTTTACAAAAATAACAGTTTTTTTCAAAAATAATAGTTTTAACAGATATAATTCACATACCACAAATTCACCTAGCAGATTATTTTATATGCATTATTTTAAGAGAAAAAAATTCAAAACAATCTCTTCCTCTACAAACTCCATATAAATCTCTCAATACATAAAATCCGCAGATGTCAGTAGTTCTAGTTATTGTCTGCCGAACAAAAGTCCTCTATCCTCCTGTCTTTTGACATCAGAGTTCCCTCATTCCTACAGGTAACTGATTACATGGGATAAGATGGGGCTGGAGAGTGACCTCCTTCCTTTCCTTCCACGTTCTCCTCTAGGGGTGGGCACGTGACCTAGACTGACCAGTCAGAGTGCCTCATGCTCCTGGCGACGATGACTGCTTCCAACATGAATCTGTGACCCCAGCGGGCCAATCAGATCCCCCCACCCCGGGACTCTTGCTGGAGATATTAAAGATGACACTGTAAGGCTGCCGCAAGCCAGGCACTGCTGGAAGCCCCGCCTGAGAATGAATTCAGAGTTGCAAGATACGGGAAAAGAGCAATGATCAACAATATGATCGAATCCCTGTACATACAGTGTATATTCAGTGATCTCTGATGCCCACAAGCCCCTTGGAATGAATTTCTAACTGTGAGCTAATAAATGCCTTTTTGTTTGTTTGTTTGTTTGTTTTTGCTTAGTCTGTGTTGGTTTCTATCCTTTACAACCAATCTTAACTAAAAAAGTTACATTAAAAAAAAAAATACAAATGGCATGAGCACATGCCTCTCTGGACACACTGAAGTGAAGAATGTTAGAGATTTAATTCAGAGGCTTCCTCTTCCCTGAGCAGTAAGGAGTCAGCTCTGAGTACAACTAAGATCTATTCTAATCAGCTAACAGGCATGCGCGTTTTCAGACTGACTTTGTATCTCACCGTTTGGGAGCCTAATTCAAATCACATGCAGGCATTCTGTGTTCTTGATTAGAACCTTTTGAAAATTGGCTGCAAACACTTAAGAGTCCGAAAGCAGCCACTGCACAGGGCCATAACACAAGTACGACCTGGCAGCACCGCACTGAGCTGTCGGGCATTAGTAAGAAAGCCCTTCCTCTGATGCCAAGACAGAAATGGAAATCAAGCAAATACTTGAGGGTTTTAATAAAGTCGAGCAGAAACAGTGTAAAAGGTCATTAGTTACAAGCTTCATAACCATTTACAGATATTTGCCACAGGATGATATGACCCCATGTACAGCCGCTTTAATAAAGCAGGAACAGGCTCAGCACGCCATGTCATCAGTAACACAGCTTCATGATCAACCTCAGAGACCTGCCTCAAGTGGCTATCAGCCCCCATGCAACCGTATAATAAAATGAAAATACTGAGCTGCTGCTTTGGTTACTTAAAAAGGCAAAAATCACCACACTGAAGCTCATGGTGGAAAAGTTAAGTCTTGGGGGTGAAAAGCATTTTAGAACATCGATTAAATGAAGGTTCGGACAATGGTACAAGCTTACTCCTGCTCACGTAGGTAAACCGGATGAAGCTAAACCAGAACCTGTGCTTTCTAGCACCCCCGCCCCCCCGGTCTAGTTCTACTCCCCCAGATCTGCCTACCCAGCCAAGTTTTCATAATGAGAACTCAAATGTAATCTCATTTTCATGTAGGACAGGGTTAAAGCAAGGAATTGGAACTTACAAGGAAACCACAAGATTGTTACGGATTTTTTTTTTTCCCCTTAATGATGGAAAGTAAACAGTATGTCCAGCACATTATTAAAAATGTTTTCTGCTTTTCTGGCACGTAGTTAGTAAAATTACTTTAAAATATACTAGCCTGGTCAACTTTAGGTAGATGCCCAGTGACGCTTTGGCAGCCTCCAGCATGTCATCGTCTTGTTCTATGAAGACCTTGGAGATCCACTCACATAGATTGTGTGACTGAAGGGAGGGCTGAAGGTGAGGCTTTAAGAAGGTCAGTAACTCACACATGAAACTCTGTAAATCAACTTCAACAAATGCAAATTTCAAAGAGCGGGCAACTGCTTATGAATACATTAACATCGTATTATAATTTTATATATAGGCATCTCAAATACTCCAACATGGATTATCATAATTCACACTTTCAAAAAGCCTATGAGTTAGGGATTATCTCTACTTTGCAAATTAGGAAAACTGAATGTCAGAGGATACAATTAAAATGTATACTCTTGAGTGAGTGAATATCATCTATTCACTGCAAGTACCAGATAACTATTTTGGAGAAACTAGAGTTACATGAATTCTTGCTAAAAGTATATAAATAAATGAATAAGTAGTAGACAAAAGACATCACTTCACTGGATGCCACAGCTATTTGTTACTAGAGGCAACAGTGTGGCCAAGCAAAATCATTTTGCCTTTAAAATAACAGGAAAGTTTTTTTTTTGTTTAAGTATTAAAAGAAAGCACAACTATTAAGCATAAAAACCAAAAAAGGTTTTGGGGAGTTTTAACTGTAATTTAAAACTCTGAATTGGGGCACCTGGGTGGCTCAGTTGGTTAAGTGACTGCCTTCGGCTCAGGTCATGATCCTGGAGTCCCAGGATCGAGTCCAGCATCGGGCTCCCTGCTCGGCAGGGAGCCTGCTTCTCCCTCTGACCCTCCCCCCTCTCATGTGCTCTCTGTCTCTCTCATTCTCTCTCTCAAATAAATAAAATCTTTAAATAAATAAAACTCTGAATTATAGAACATATGCCACCTAGTGTTTTAAATTATAACTGCAAAGAATGATATCTAGTGTGTGGTAATTACAAGGTAAATGACATTCAAAGCAATTCAAGAAAGTAGCTGCTTACAGTTCAAACCTTTCACTAAAACTATATGCCGCTTGTTTAGGGAAGTCTACTATTCCTTTTTAGCAGATGAAATGGAGGACATGTCTTCCCCAAAACCTAAATTGAATATCCTACTTTAAACAGTTGTCTTTGGACTTAGTTAAGATCCTGGACATTATATGCAACAATTTCTTAATCAATGTAACTTCTCACGTTAGTTTTAATTCACTTTCTAGTTATTGATAATCTACGTTACCCAATTTTCTGAAGGAAAATATGAATGAAATACTACAAATATTTGAACTGACTTATATCACTTGCTTTGAGGTGCTCAATAGCACCTCTTTATTTTTAACCTTAATCATTAATTATGCCATACAAATTCAGTTTAGCCCACAAAATGTACAAATTCAGTTTAGCCCACGAAATGTTGACATGTTTCTTGTGTAATTCTAATTTTTCTTTTTTAAAAGAAAATGTAATAAATTATAACATGTAGATTTAATTAGTGGAGTTACAGTCCTGAGATTTGAAAATTATTAATTACTTTATATCAGTAAACAATTACTCATTACTTTGCACACAAAAGGAGTTCAGAGAATTACCTTTCATTTCATCTGCTGAAGCACAACTTTGAAACTTGATTTCTACGGATTTAATGATAAGTAGGCTTGCTGCTCTGAGAATAACATGATCTGGACCAGGGACACGCTCACATGTAGGTTGAATTTCATCTCCACCAAAGCAGGGAGGTTTTCCATGGACAGACAACGTCCTCAATAAGCCCAAATCCACAGCTCGCAAAACAGCATCAGCTAAAGCCAACATATCTACATCTAAATGCCGATCTGGTGGCATTAGGACAGGGCTAGATCCCCGACAAAGGTCTTCGCCCACTTTCCAGAGTAGGCACTTTTTGATGAATATGATGAACTTCCTTTTGACAAAAGCCTGAACAGGCCAGGTAATAACATCTAGCACACAAGAAGGTTTCAAAAATAAAATCCTCTGGCAAGTGAAATGTAGCTTCAGATGGATTCTGGAAGCTATAAGAAGTTCAAGTAATTCCAGGAAACATATCAAGCTGTTTATTATTTTAGAGGTATCTTGGCAGCTTTCAAAATGCTGAGAAAATAACGAATTGTAAAAAACTTCAAAAATAGTGTCAAAAGGAGTCAAGAACTGCTTTAAAATTTCTGCAATGATAAAAACAGTAATTATAAACAAGAGGAAAAGTGAAGGCTTCTTTTTTTTTTTTTTTAAGATTTTTATTTATTTGACAGAGAGAGACACAACGAGAGAGGAAACACAAGCAGGGGGAGTGGGAGAGGGAGAAGCAGGCCTCCCGTGGAGCAGGGAGCCCGATGCGGGGCTCGATCCCAGGACCCTGGGATCATGACCTGAGCCGAAGGCAGACGCTTAATGACTGAGCCACCCAGGCGCCCAAAAGTGAAGGCTTCTTAAAACACAATTTACAATTCAATTTTTATAAATATTATCACTTTACAAGATGAAAAAATGGATGTGGACTGTTTAATGTGAACAAATGAAGATACACAAAATAACAGCTAATATATAATACACACACACACACACACACACACAATAGAGTATTACTCAGCCATGAAAAAGAATGAAATCTTGCCATTTGCAATGACATGGATGGAGCTCGAGTATGTTATGCTAAGTGAAATAAGTCAGTCAGAGAAAGACAAATACCGTATGATTTTACTCATATGTGGAATTTAAGAAACAAAACAGATGAACATGGAGGGAAAAAAAAAAGAGGGAACCAGAAAATGGACTCTTTTTTTTTTTTTAAAGATCTTATTTATTTATTTGGCAGAGAGAGAGAGAGAGATAGAGAGAGCACAAGTAGGCAGAGCGACAGGCAGAGGGAGAGGAAGAGGCAGGCTCCCAGCTGAGCAGAGAGCCAGACGTGGGACCTGATCCCAGGACCCTGGGATCATTACCCAAGCCGAAGGCAGACACTTAACTGACTCAGCCACCCAGGTGCCCCCAGAAAACAGACTCTTAAGTACAGAGAACAAACCGATGGTTGCTGGAGGGGAGGTGGGCAGGGAGGATAGGTTAAATGGGTGATGGAGATTAAGGAGGACACTTGTGATGAGGACGGGTGTTATTTGTAAGTGATCAATCACTAAATTCTACTCCTGAAATCAATATTACACTATATTTTAATTAGAATTTAAATAAAAACTTGAAACAAGCAGAAGAATAACAGCTAATAACCACAGTTAATTATCCATTTTACAAATATCAAAAGGGACATATAATAGCTTTAATTTTTGCCTAATAATTATAGTCTTCAGTCAAAAAATTTGGAGTGAGATTATTTAGTTTTTCATACTTCAGGACAGATCAGATGCTGTAAAGTAAGTTTTAATCTTCATTATAAACATAATGTTCCGGGGCGCCTGGGTGGCTCAGTCGTTAAGCGTCTGCCTTCGGCTCAGATCATGATCCCAGGGTCCTGGGATCGAGCCCCGCATCGGGCTCCCTGATCACCGGAAAGCCTGCTTCTCCCTCTCCCACCCGCCCCTGCTTGTGCTCCCTCTCTCGCTGTGTCTCTCTCTGTCAAATAATAAAATCTTAAAAAAAGAAACATAATGTTCCTTGGGAGCAAAAGAATGACATTTATGGGGAACCATAATTTGTACCTGTTTTTTGTGAACATGTATCTTTAAAGATTTCTTTTATTATAACAGTAAGGGTCCAGAGGCAGTATACTGCTTTCTCATTTTCAGGGTATTCAGAAAGATTTTTTTGGCAAAAAGCAATCCAGGAATTACTAAATGTTATCTACAAGTGAGAAAACAAAAAGTAGCAAGTTATAATAGAAAATTTTCTTTACAATTGCAAATTACCTATTATATACAGTACAACTCTATATAACATTGTTTACTCCCTTGCAAAAAAAAAGTCTAGGGCGCCTGGGTGGCTCAGTTGGTTAAGCGACTGCCTTCGGCTCGGGTCATGATCCTGGAGTCCTGGGATCGAGTCCCGCATCGGGCTCTCTGCTCAGCAGGGAGTCTGCTTCTCCCTCTGACCTTCCTCCTTCTCATGCTCTCTGTCTCTCATTCTCTCTCTCTCAAATAAATAAATAAAATCTTAAAAAAAAAAAAAAAGTCTAGTATTTGGTAAAACAAGAAAGACACAAATATCCTAATATTCTATAAGTAAAAAAATTCAATGTGCCATAGAAATAAAGGCTCAACAGGGAACATGAAAATATTAGCAGTCATTATTTCTAGGTGGTGGAAAGACGTGTGATTTTTATTTTGTTCTTTATACTTTCTCTCATTTCCCAAATTTTCCACTACTAATGCCATCTTTTTGTATTTAGAAAAAAATGTTACTTTGAGAAAGGAATAAGTAATTATAGCTTAAATAAATCGGTAGATGCTTACATTTATTAACTAATGCAGAGATAAGAGAAAAATCCGATGCTCAATTTGTTTGTAGTTTTTTCATCACGCTTAGGACCATTCTTAGAATTTATTTATATTGAACCTGTAAAAATGGTCTTGGTCTCCAGCAGAGGCTCCTAAATCTTTTTTTGGAGAAAGGGAAGCAGGCCTACCTGCTCCTTTGAGAAACTGAAGAAGTTATAGACTGACTTGAAACCCATCCTTCAGGTGAAGAATCTGATTTATAATGACTTATGACATATTTAAGACTCTAATCTTTGATACAAGTCACTAATATATTACTACTCCATTCTTACACTTTTATGGATTTATACGTTATTAAAAGAGCGAACATTTTATTGATACAAACATTTGAAGGGTAAAATTGAATGCCAAAGAACAATTTTAAAGAAACTATGAAAGAAAACAGCATAACTTGATTACTTATCTTACCTTTTCTCTCAATTGGAAATACAGAAGTAGTGCAAGGCACTTTGCAGCCATGTGAGATAACAATTTATCCGAGTTTTGGAACATACAGGTCTACGGGAAAGCAAATAAATTTACCCACTATTACTGAATGTTTTTAAAACTTTTGTTTTAAAAACCTAGATCTAAAGAAAAACCCCCAAAACAACAACAAAAAACCCACAGAAAACAAATGGCTTACTAATTTAGAATCGATGTCAGATGATTTTAAAAGAACTTTAATTGTATCTCTGTATTTCTCCTTCGCACGGAAGTCAGTTTCAACAGACAATATTCTGGTTATCATCACTTTGATTACTGTTAACTGAAGGAGCATTACTTCCCGGGCGCTGCGTATCGGCGAGTGTTTCTTCAAACACACAGGCACTGCAGAAATGGTAGCCAAATTGGCAGAGGATGGCTGATGCTTGTCCTGGACTCCATGGGGGTTTGGGCATTCTGAAGAGGCGGCTGTAGAGCAATCTTGATCCAAAGATGCTGGGTTGAGATAAAAGATGTAATCATGGTTCTCATTTTCAAGTGTGGCTCCCAGAAGTACCTTCTTGTATAATTGTTCTAAAACGTCAAAGAAAGCTTCCATTGGGACTGCCAAAATATATCTCATGAGAAAGCTGACAACTCCAAACTGTAAATATTAATCTCAGAAATGCAACAAATCTGTAAGATATTTCTTCGGTAAAACCTAAAATAGGAACAGTAATTTTAAAATTAGCATCATATACATCATATTACAGGGGAAAGGCATCTATTTTCACTTAATCATTTCGCCCTCAAGTTAAATAAAGGTAATACTGATTGCTTAATTTCTAAAATGGAAAACTGGTAATAAGAACATTATCTTAAGACTGTAAAAATGAAATGGATGTTTTCCATACAGATTTAAGACCATAAATTTATTTTTAATTTTATCAGAGCAGAAACTTTACCTTTCCTCTAACATTTTTCGATGGGCCATGAGGGCCTCTCAATCTTGGCACTACTGACTTTAGGGGCTGGGTAATTTTGTTGTGGGGGAGCTGGCCTGTGCATTGTAGGAAGTTCAGCAGCATTCCTGGCCTCTGCCCACTAGATGCCAGGAATACCTCCCTTGGCGGGGGTCGGGGGCATAACCATGCAGGCTGACACCCACAGGGCCACCTCCAATTAATTAACCTTCACCTTCAACTTACAGATGAAAACCTAGTTAGATGGCTGTGTGGTCAAACTACTGTGCTTATTGATGATTAATTCACAACTTAAAATTAAATAATAGGAAGATCCTTTGCCAGCACTTTCAACATTAAATAAAAAATGAAAAACGCCAAGAAAAAGACAAAATGTTAACCGAAAATAATCCAAACGTGAGCACACTGTCCTCGTAGCTGGATACAACTTTAGATACGCCCGCTGTCCCGGACGGACTCTGACGTGATAGAGACCAGCAAGAGTGAGGAGAAGGGAAAGGACGCTTACGGTCAGACGTGGCTTATAAAGCAAGGAATATGGACAATCACTGATAGATGAGTATTAGAGGAAATATTATAGGTCATACAAGTATTAATGTAGTTACTATAGAGCAAGCGTGGCTGGGAGAAATTTAAGACTGGCAGAAGCTAGAGATTACTGAATATCCTTCCATTGAAATGCTGAGCCTCTGGGAATTATATGATCCTTTGGGGCTCAGGCCTTTCATTGCCTTTGAGCTATTTCACACCTTTGTAAATTTGTTGATTGCTGATGGCAATGCAAATAATTCTTGTCTATAGACATGCAGATAATTGTCTGGTGGAAGGTCAACCCTCCTCTCAGCGGGAAAAGCCAGGTTTGCTTCTATTTGTAAACTCAGTTCAACATTCCTTTACTCCATGTAAATTCATGGTTCTTTAACTTTTCCTTTAAAATGGCTGTGACATCTGCCTAGTTCTTTCATTAGTTAATGAGTTAAATAAAATTGCTGATACAAGTTCATTTTGTATGGGTCATGACTTTGTCCCTTTCCAATTTATCCTTTAATAAAGTCCAAGGACTTTCCCCATCTACTCCGGCCCATTTATAAATGCCCAGTCCATCTTTTAACCATGGTCCTCACTGGAGGAATCCTAGGAGGGCTGTCACTTACATTGGGTCTCACTTCTACAGTATGGCCCACTGACCTGCCCCTGGTCTTTATTTTTCCCCTCCCTCTCTTCCCCCTTGCTTAGCTTCTAAGGAATTTCAATTCCTGATCACCCTCACAGGACAAAACCGCCTTGTTTTTGTCCTATAGTGTAAAAATAAGTTTTAAGAAACCTATAGATTGTAACTTAAAGTTAAGAATGAAACTTTCTCTGGTAAAGTTTCTCTGAATCCTCTTTTGAAACTGTGAACATCCCACATGATTTGGAAACATAACTAATTATCGGGAATCTTGTTCCATCTGATAGTGTTCAATGTTATCTGTTACCTGAACACTGTGCTCCCAGAAAGCAAGAATGATTAATGTTCCAAGAAACGGCTCACCATATTCCCAGCTAGGCCTCACCTCTACGCTTCCACACTGACTCCCCTTGTTTCACAAACCCCCACATTTCCTCCTTCTTGAGACGTGTCCCATTAATGAACATTCTACCTGTTGCAATAACCTGAATAAAATCATCTTAATTGTCTGGTTAATTTTTTTTTTTTTAAGATTTTATTTATTTATTTGACAGAGAGAGAGAGAGAGACAGCACAAGTAGGCAGAGTGGCAGGCAGAGGGAGAGGGAGAAGCAGGCTTCCCGCTGAGCGGGGAGCCCGATGCGGGGCTCGATCCCAGGATCCTGGGATCATGACCTGAGCCGAAGGCAGCTGCTTAGCCAACTGAGCCACCCAGGCGCCCTGTCTGGTGAATTTTATCTGCCACAAACAGAAACTAGCTTTCATATTCTACTTCAGGGTCCACTTCCAGTGTATTTATTTCACTTTATATTTTGGTTATAACAGTAACATTTCTTCCCAATAAAACTATTGACATCTTTTATTGAAGTTGACATAAACTATTTCATTTTTATATGTCAAATATTCTGTGACAATAGACTGTTTTAGGTTTTAACTAATATCACATGTACAAGCCTATTATAATTTTTAGCTGCAAATGGAATTCTTTTTATTTCAATGCCATGGCAGTAACAATACTTCCATTAAGGAGCAGCTGGGTGGCTCAGTCAGTCAGGTGTCTGACTCTTGGTATTTGCTCAGGTCATGACCTCAGGGTTGTGGGATCAAGCCCCACACAGGGCTGCACACTTGGCATGGAGTTTGCTTGGGATTCTCTCCCTCTGTCCCTCCCCCTGTGCTCCCTGTCAAATCAATTAATCAATCAATCTTAAAAAAAAAAAACAAAACACAACACTTTCAATAGTATTTCTATAAATCTTAAGTCCTTAAATTTTACCATGAATGAGAATAAGACTGTGGATATTCAACAATTTTGACCTATAAAAAGGGCCATTTCAAATGGTTCAAACATTTCAGCATGCAAGACTAAAGTGAATACCAATAAATAAATAGATATATAGACAAGCAAGTTAAGTAAGCAAGCATTACAGGGGGGAAATGGGCCATTTTCTTTCATCGTAGGACCCAGGTTCTTTGATAAGAGTGGTTGTGAGTAATCAGATTGAAAAGCATCAGCTGGGGCCCACAAATGCCAGGCAGGTGTAGGGTGCCAAGGACAGGCTGCCCCAAAATGTGTCACTCTGGCACATTGATTATTTTAAATAAAATTTACTTCAGAGACAGCCTGTGCAGGAAGGACACTCAGACCCTCCTCTGTCCCCCTGAAAACAGGAAATAAATCTCCCATGCAAGAGGTGTCCTCCCAGTATCAGGAGGTAGAGACAACCTGATCTCCACAGATAGGAAATTCAGAGCCAGGAAAGCTGTATAAACAACCGTTTTTACTGTTTACTGATTTACTAGCACAATCCAAATTCTCTTAAGAATTCCTTACTAATTAAAGCACCCAAAGTTAAGTTTTCTCTGTCCTGTCAATTCCTCACAGATTTATTGTCTGTCTAAAAAGCATAAAAACTGCCTGTCTTGGTCATTTCTTTAGGTGTCAATTGTCATTACTGGGCCTCTTGCGCACGTAATAAAACTGTTTTTTTTTTTTTTTTTCCCTGTTAATCTGTCTCATATAGATGTAAGTCTTAGTCTAACTGGAAGACCTTGAAAGGTAGAGGAAGAATTTTTCCCTCCCTTCACAGGTACCAAATAGGTACCAGATAGGTGCTAGGCTGGTTCTACTATGACTAAGCATCAATCTTTCCTCATTACAGTATCTTTTAAAATACTGATTTTGGCCCAAGAAATCTACATTGAAACAAATGTCTGTGGGTAGCCTATTGAGAACTGTAGCTTTTTTTTTTTTTTTTAAAGGAATTAAAGTATTAAAGGAAAAGACAAATCCTGAAAAAATGAACGAGGGTATTTGACCAACCACACCTTTTTTTCCTGAAGTGTCTGTTACAAGGGTAGTAGATCTCAAGCTCTTTTCTGTGCTGGTCTGGAGGAAGGTGTACCTCTCAGACAAGTTTTGAAACCAGCTACACTGGATATATGGGAGAGATCTGTCTAGCCTGAAAAGGAAACAAATATTAGGAAAGGTCTAACTAGGATAAGAAATGGGTAGCGCTTTCAAAGAGATTTTTTCAGAAAATACCTCTTGGCAGAGGAGAATGAGTACTAGGTAGCCAAAAGGGGTACCCAATACAACATAAAATTTACCTCAAGTCTCTCTTTTACTGTTTAAGGACTATAAATGATTTGAATTGTGTATTCTTTTCCTAATAGAAGCATACGTGTCTTAATATAAAAGTAATATATTCCGACTCATCTTCACACAAAGTCGATGCTTCAGGAATAAGAATTGCTAAAGTTTAGGGGCACCTGGGTGGCTCAGATGCTTAAGCGTCTGCCTTAGGCTCAGGTCATGATCTCGGGGTCCTGGGATCAAGCCCCTCCTCAGGCTCCCTGCTCAGCAGGGAGTCCGCTTCGCCCTCTGCCCCTCCCCCAACTCGCATGCATACACACAGGCGAGCGCGCGCTCTCTCTCAAATAAATAAAATCTAAAAAAGAAAAAGAAAAAAGAACTGCTAAACTTTCTTGGGTGCCTACTATGTACCAGACACCGTTCTGAGTAATAGCTTCACAACAACTTTATGAAGTGGATAATTATCATACCTATTTTACAAATAAGGAAATTAAGGCAAGGAGAGATTGTTACAGAGGTAGGTAAGTGGCAGAGCCAGGATCTGAACCCACAAAGTCTAATATCAAAGCTTGTGGTCCTCCTCAAATTTCCTCTGATGCTCTAAGTCTCAGGAAAATGGATGAATAGAGGACTTCTAACAAGCTTCCTAAGTGAAAGTAGTAACTCACACAGTCTAATTTTTCAGTTTCTAGATTTTCTCCCATAGTACTGTAAATCAGAATACCCATCCTTAGAATAATTTTCACATGCTGCACAACATCTAAACTCAAGGCAATTACTATACAACTTCCCAATGCAAACCAAATCAATTTTTTCAAAAGACACTCAGCAACCAAAGGTTCAAACATTAATCAGGCCATCCTATTTGATTGAATTTTTATATTAAATTACTTTTAGAAGCTACATCAAACCCTGGATGAAAAGCCAAACTATCCACAGATCATATTTTGATTATCAGCCCACCAACAGTTTAAAGGCATGACTAAGACCTTGGTTTTACTTCACTTAAAATAATTTCAACCTTTTACAAAAATTAACTCAAAATGCATCATGGGCTTAAAACTTAAATAAGATTTTAGGAGAAAAGAAAAAAGCAGGAGAAAAATCTTTAGGATTCAAGGCTAGGCAAAAAGTTCTTAAACTTGGCCCCCAAAGCAGTCTCTAAAAAGTAAAAATTGATAAACCAGAGCTCAACAAAATTAAAAACTTCTGCTCTGTGAAGGACCCTATAAAGAGCATGAAAAGACAAGTTATAGACTGAGAGAAGATATTTGTTAATCACATAATCAAAGGGTTAGTATCTACAATATATAAAGGTTTCTCAAAACTCAGTATTTCAAAAATAGTAGTAATTAGAAAATGGGCAAGAGACATGAACAGACCTTTCTCTGAAGGGGATAATACAGATGGCAAGAAAAGTGCACAAAAAAGATGTTCAATCACATTAGCCGCTGGGGAAATGTATATTAAAGTCACAGTAAATACTACTATCACTATAATGGAAAAAAAAATGACTGGCACCAAATTCTGCAGAGGATATGGAGAACCAGACTACTCTTACGTTGCTGGTGAGATTATAAAATGGTATAGTCACTCTGGAAAACAGTCTGGTAGTTTCTTTAAAAAACTAAACATACTCTTAACCATATGTTCCAGCAATTGCACTCCTTGGTATTTACTCAAAGGAGCTGAAAACTTATGTCAACATAAAAACCTGCACACAGATATACAGAGCAGCTTTATTCACAGTTTCCAAAATTTGGAAGCAGTGAAGATGTCCTTCAGTGGATGATAAACTGTGGTATATTCAGACAATGGAATATTTATTCAGTGCTAAAAAGGAAGAGCTATTGAGCCATGAAAAGACATGAAGGAACCTTAAATGCATAGTACTAAGTATTTTTTCCTTTTTTTTTTTTTAAAGATTTTATTTATTTATTTGAGACAGAGAGCATGAGAGGGAGGAGGGTCAGAGGGAGAAGCAGACTCCCTGCTGAGCAGGGAGCCCGATGCGGGACTCGATCCAGGGACTCCAGGATCATGACCTGAGCCGAAGGCAGTTGCTTAACCAACTGAGCCACCCAGGCACCCGCATAGTACTAAGTAAAAAAAGCCAATCTGAAAAGGCTATATACTGTATGATTCCAACTATATGAGGTTCTGATAAAGGTAAAACGATAAAGACAGTAAAAAAGATCAATGGTTGCTAGAAAGGGATGAACAGATGAAGCATAGATTTTTAGGGCAGTGAAAAGACTCTGTATGATCCTATAATGGTGGATATGTATCACTGTATGTTTGTCCAAACTCAGAGAATGTGCACCACCAAGAGTGAACCCTAGCATCAACTATGGACTTTGGGCGATAACAGTAAGTTCATCAATTGTAACAAATGTTACCACTCTGGTGGGGGGATGTTGATAACGCAGGGGAGGGCTATGCATGTGGAGGGGCAGGAAATATACAGGAAATTTCTGTATTTTACAATAACCTAAAACTGCTCTAAAAAAATAAAATCTTTAAAGCAAAATAAGAAACTAAATATGCAACTACCGTATGACCTAGTAATTACATACCTGAGCAGTTATTCCAGTAAAATGAAGACTTACAGTCACACAAAAACCTGCATATGAGAGTTCACGGCAGGTTCATTCATAATAGCAAAAAACGAGATAACCCAGATGTCCTTCAGTGCATGAATGGTATACTACACAGCAATAAGGAAAGAACTATTGATGCATGCAATAATTTGGATAGTTCTTAGGGGATTATGCTAAGAGAAAAAAGCCAGTCTCAGAAGGTTGCATGTTGTGTGGTTCCATTCTTGAAATGACAAAATTAGAGAGATGGAGAAGAGATTAGTGGTTGCCAGAGGTTAGGGAGCCCCCTCCCGCCCCCGCCACTTGGTGGGTAGGGTTATAAAGGCCAATACAAGGGATCCTTGTGATCATGGAACTAGTGAAGGCAACACTAACCTACATATGTGATAAAAATTGCATAAAACTAAATATACACACAGATAAATGAACAGAAGTAAAAACAGGAAATCTGAACAGGATCAGTGGATTATACTAATCCTGGTTGTGATATTGTACAATATTGTACAATAGTTGTGAAAGATGCCCCATTGGAGAAAATGAGTCAAAGGGTATATAAGATATCTCTGTATTATTTCTTACAACTGCACGTGAATCTATAATTTCTCAAAATTAACAGTTCAATTAAAAAATATAATAATTTCAGGGGCGCCTGAATAATTTCAGGTGGCTCAGTCGATTAAGCATCTGACTCTTGATTTCAGCTCTGGTCATGATCTCAGGGTTGTGAAATCATCAGGTTGTGATCAAGCCACGGCGGGCTCCATGCTCAGCAAGGAGTCTGCTTGTCCCTCTCCCTCTGTTCCTCCCCCTGCTTGCACTCTATCTCTAAAATAAAAAAATAAAATCTTTTAAAAAATATACAATAATTGCAGCTATAGATATCAGCCTTCTGGTCCCAAGTGTTAATATGCCTAGGATTTCACTAACATCAACTAAATATATATGTAAATGTATTGGGACTTTGATTTTAAAAATCCCTAGACGGAAAACTGAGCAGAATGGTATTTTAAAAATGTTAAAAAATGGGGCGCCTGTGTGGCTCAGTCATTAAGCGTCTGCCTTCGGCTCAGGTCATGATCCCAGGGTCCTGGGATCGAGCCCCGCATCGGGCTCCCTGCTCCGTGGGAAGCCTGCTTCTCCCTCTCCCACTCCCCCGCTTGTGTTCCTGCTCTCACTAACTCTCTCTCTGTGTCAAATAAATAAATAAAATCTTTAAAAAAAAAAATGTTAAAAAATATTTTCTTAAAAAATATTCTTAAGTAATAACTAGGTAGAAATTTTAAGTGCATGATCTATTCATTAGAAGGCATTCTACCATCACCCAATTTCAAAATTATTAAAAAACAAATTGCTAGTAATTTAATCCTTCTTTGTATGCAGATAACAACAATAAAAAAGATGCCACTATCTCTTTTACGAGATTTTCTTTAGATAACCCATATATTGAAAATTCAGAAAAATAATTACTTCCATGGTCAATGTTACAATGAAAAAATGCTTTTCTTTATATGAAAAGCTACTACAGTTTGCCAGTCGGCTAGAAACTCAAAATTGGGCTTTGGCCTAATGCAACAATAGGTTCAAATCTGATCATAGCCCAACTGGTCACTTAATGTGTATTGCCCCATTAATGAAGATGCTGTGATTCTAAAGGCAGAAATAAATAATAAATAAGCAAGTAAATAAATAAGTAAGTAGAACTATATCCAACCAAAAAGCTTCTGCACAGCTGAATAAATCATCAACAAAATAAAAAGAAAACCTATGGAATAGAAAAAATAATGTTCACAAACCATACATCTGATAAGCGATTAATACCCAAAACATATAAAGAACTCATACAACTCAAAACAAAAAACCACAAATAATCCAAATGAGCACAAGAGCTAAAAAGACCTTTTTCCAAAGAAGATATATAAAAGGCCAACAAGGTACATGAAAAGATGCTCAACAGCACCACTCATTAGGAAGATGCAAATTAAAACTACAATGAGACATCACCTCATACCTGTTAAGAGTCACCATCATCAAAAAGAGACAACAAATGCTGGAAAGATGTGGAGAAAAGGGAATCCTTGTGCACTGCTGGTGGCAATGTAAATTCATGCAGTCACTATGGGAAGCAATATGGAGGAGCCTTAAAAAATTAATAGAACTACCATATGATAACGGCAATTCCACTTCTGAGGATATATCCAAAAGAATCAAAAACGCTAACCTGAAAACACACCTGCACCCTCATGTTCCTAACAGCATTATTTATAATAACCAAGACATGGAAACGACCTAAGTGGATGAAAAAGCTGTGGTATGTACATACGATAGAATATTATTCGGCCATAAAAAATGAGGAAATCATTCCATTTGTAACAACATGGATGGACCTTGAAGGCATTATGCTAAGTTAAATTAGTCAGAAAAAGGCAAATACTGTATGATCTCACTTCATGTGGGAATCTAAATAAACAAAAAACAAACCCAAACTCATAGTAAAAGAGATCAAACTTGTGGTTATCAAAGGCAGAGGGTGGGGTGGTGGGGGACCTGGGGGAGGGTGGCCAAGAGGTACAGACTTCCAACTATAAGTTAAATAAGTACTAGGGATGTAAGGTACAACACGACTATTGCTGACACAGCTGTAGGATACCCAGGAAAGCTGCTAAGAGAGTAAATCCTAAGAGTTTTCACCACAAGAAAAAAAATTTTTCCCTTTTTCTTCTTTCATTTCTTTTTATTATGTCTGTAGGAGAGGACGGATGTTAGCTGAACCTACTGTGGCAATCATTTCACAATAAATGTAAATCAACCATCATGCTGTATGCCTTAAACTGATACAGTGATGTGTATCAATTATTTCTCAATAAGGGGGAAAAATGTTGGGATCTTTAAGTGTTCAATCCTCCATATCCTCTCTCTTCTTAGTGCAATTTCATGGACTCTCTGTGTCTTCAATTACTATCTCCATGTTGTTTTCTTCTACCTCAGTTTATGGTGACTGTTATCTCCTAGGCACCGAAGCTAGAAATCTGGACATCTTTCTGGACCCTTCCTCAGCCCACTTCTCTCCACCCTCACTGGTACTACTGCAGTACACCACTTCTACCCCAGACAACCAACAGATTTCTTGCTAAATGGTTGTTTCTTAGCCCACCCTACACCCCCTTTCTTCTGAAAAACCTCTTCACTCTCTTTAGGATAAAGTCCAACCCCCTGGACACAGCAAGTCCTTCAAGATCTGCCTCTTGGAATTCCCTCATTAATCTGCCCCACAAACTAAGCTACAGGCTTTCTCTAAAGTCCTCAGAAACTGTGCACTTTAAGGGTTCCCAAGCTTTCTTGGCACATTCTTTCGAAGCCACATTCAACCTTCTCCCTCCCACTCTCAACCTCTAATTTGAAAACCTGCAGTCCCAGGGAAGCCTTTTACATATCCAACTCAGGATTAGGGGGCCCTGCCAAGTGCTCCTTCAGCCTATACTACAGTATTTATCTCACTGCATTGTCTATAATTATTTTCTAGTTTGGTTTCCCCACACTTTGACTATGAGCTTCCCTGGGCAGGACTGAGCTGTTTGCTTATATAGGCCAATAGGTAGCACATGAGGAAAGCACCAAAACATGTATTCTTGAATGAGTGATAGTGTAAAAGAAAACATCAGAGGGACAAATTGAAAGTGTTTGCAGTGACCCCCATCTGCCACACAACATCTTAACATATCTCATTACATAAAAGCAATGGATACATTAAATTACTTCCTTTACATAATTGAGTAGGCCATTCCATGTGGACATTGGTGGTAGCCAAATGTCTGGTGTATTGGATGACTCAGTTTAAAATAATGGCAGCGCTTGTTTGGGTTACTATAATAGCCTTCCACATTTGCAGTACCCCGGCTCTAGCTAGTACGTTCTATTGAGCAGTCGGCCAGTGATCTTTTCAAAACATAAATACGATACTGTAACTTCTCTACCATAGCTTACAAGGTCCTGCAAAGATCGGCCACCTGTCCCAACATCCCCAATCTTAATACCAATCATTCTCCCTCTTACTCACTCCGCTTGACTACGCTGGTCTTCTTTCTTGCAGTTTCTGTTAAACAGCAAAGGTTATTCCAGCATCGGAGGCTTCGCCCTGTTGATTCTACCTGCTTGCAAAATTCTTCCCTCCTCCTCCCCTCCCCCCACACCCCAGATCTCGCCTTGGTTGGTTCCTCCTCATTCAGATCGCTGCTCAAATGTCACTTCCTCAGAGACCTTTCCTGACTACCTATCTAAAACAGCCAACACGTCCTAGTCAAACTCGATCCTCTTATTCTCCTTGACTTCCTTTATATAACCTAACCCTACGTGATAATTTTGTCTCCCCTGTTAAAGCGAAAGCTCCACGAGGACAAGTGATTGCAACTACCTTGTTCACTGTTGTCTCCCTAACGGCTAAAACAGTGCCCGGCCAATAAACACTTGCTAAATGAATACATGCACTCAATAAGCTTGTCCATCTCGCGTATTTTCCATTCTCCTTTCCCCTTCATCGTCAGAAATCCGTGAGGGTCGCTGTCCTTGCAGGAAAGCTCTTGAAGCGTCACCGCCATCCCAAAAAGTCCTCTTTTCCTCACCGGGAGAGGCAAGCCCAGCCTGGTAGCTAATGGGCCTCAGGGACCGAAAGATGAGCCGCGGACCCGGCACCCTCGTCTTAAGAGCGCTGAGGCGGAGCTGCGGCACTTGGCGTCCCCTTCCTCGCTTCCTGGGGACTGCCGCCTCCCCAACCTTAGACCCCTGGACCAGCCTCTCAGTCGGCCGCACACACGCCTTCCCCGCCGCCGAGCTCCGCTGCCACTCCTAGTTACCTGCGGGAGATCGGCCTTGGGAGACTCAGCCTTCTCACCGCCATTCGAACGAACAGCAGCACCTTCCGGGCCACCGTAGTTCGCGGAAAGCACACGCCAATCTCTCCTTCCGCATGCGCAGAGATCCCATTCGGCGTACAGTGTATCTTAGCAACCGCATCGAGTCCCTCCGCCAGGGGCGGAGCATCGGAAGCCACAGGGGGGAAGCCGAGGGGGAAGTGAGTGAGACCAATCGGAGACGAGTCCCAACCTCGACCGGCACGCCTCCTCTAACTGTCGCGAATGCGCAGACGGCTTTACGGCAGGCGAGGGGTGGGGGCTGCCGGGGGTAAGGAGGAGAGAAGGAAGCAACCAACCAACCAAGTCGCCCCCACCCCCCACCCCCACCCACCCCGGACCTGGTTTACGGCTCCGGGCTCAGGCTCCGATGCGGCCGCTGATTGGCTGCTGAAGGCTTGGTCCCATCCCAGTGACCCCAAAGTGCTGGAGGGAGGGGGCGGGGGTGGCCCAGTGCAAAGTGCATCCCGAAAGCCCCCTGCCTGGAGCCCCCGCGGCTGGCACTTCGGACCCTGTATGACCCGGGACCTCGCTGCCCCGAGACCTGCTGTGTGCCCCCGTAGCCGGGAGCCTCCGGCCCGGAGCGCGGCAGCCCCTGTTCCGAGCCCTCAGACCCGGGCTGCCCCCCCCCTCGAGCCGGGACTTCCTCCCTGCACCCCTGCCCCGAGGCTGCCCGGCGGTCAGGACCGTCGCCCCAGTTCTGCTCGACTGTCCGGATGCTCGCTGGGCTGGGGCCGTGAGGCACCGAGAAGGATCAGGAACACCCGTGTCCGGCCCTGCCTGGAGTGTTTGTTCAATGGAGAAGTTGGTGAGTGTGGAGAAGGCTGAAAGGAGGAAGAGAAGCAGCAGCTGAGGAGACAGGTAAAGTCAGTTACCCCCCCAGGGGAAGGGGGCTGGCTGGGAGAGAGAATCACTGCTTCTTCCTGTCTGCCCTTACCACTCTTCCTTTGCTACCCCTTCCTCAGAGCCCCCTCCTCCTCGCCCCTGGGTCACTGCACCACTCACTGGTTTCTGCTTTCTAGGTTTGAGCTGGCTAGAGGAGACGAGAGAGCAGGGAGGGGTCAAGCCACCCACCAGAGAAGCAGCAGAGAGCCTCTGACCAGCATCCTCTGTAAAGGTAATGAGCCAGACCTCCCCTCCCCCATTGTTTATTCCTGGCCCCTATCTCATTAAGCATTGCTTTATTTTCAGCGTAGTTACCTGGAAATGTAACTCTTTCCTGGCACCCGGTTTCCCAGCAAAACCAAACACTGCCTGTGCCCGATCCTTAAGATTTTAATTAATAACTTCTTTATCTCAGAAATGTATTTTCCCCTTTCTCTCTGTACGTTGCGTTTCCGTGTTCTGCATTATCTTTCGGTACACTGGGCCATTTACCCTGCTCTGAGACTTTGAGACCTTTTTGTAGCTCCCCCCCCCCACCTTACTCTCATAGGAATTTCTCAATTCCTTGTTAATTGCTTGTTAATTCTGAATGACTGTTTTTTAATTAAACCACAATTTTCTGTTTTCCCCTTATGTCTTCCTATCACCTTTCCTCTACCTCTGTCAGAAAATCTTTTGAGTTAACTGACAAGGGTTTGGTAGAGGAAGGTACAGTAATGGCTGAAATTTGTGACTTTTGGAAAATAATGTGACTTTTTTCTAGTGAAAAGTGAATCTGTGTAGCTGGATAGTGTGGATAGTTTGAAAGCAGTGTTGGCCCCTGACGCACTTGAATATAATTAACTCATGTGGCTCTTACGTGCTTCTGTGTGACAGATGTGGATGGATTTTGAAACTGTTATAACGATAAGTAATATTTGTTACACCTTTGATTTTCTAGAAGAACTTACAAAACTTTATACAATATTGTTAATCATTTGGCACTAAGAGTTTGCAAACACAGGAATGTTTTGGTGTGTTTAGAATCTAGGGCTTTATTTTTGCACTCTTCAGAGATAAGATTTTTCATTTCAGAACCCTTACAGATAATTTGTTAGATTGAAATTTAAGTATTTCATTCATGTGATCACATTTCTGCCACTGTATTTTGTTGCTGCCTCTGAAAATGCACTAAAGGTAAGTTTAGGACATTCATGTAGTTCCTAAAGAGGGAATATGATCAGGGAAATTATATAAAAGTTGATTCAGAAATTAGTCAAGTGAATGACTTCTCTGCCGTCCAATAACAGGGGTATAAAGTGACTGGGTAATCTCAGAGTTATTTTAATATCTCAGATTGTTTAGGGAATTTCAGGTACAAAGAAGTACTTAAAATAGCAGAAGTTGTTAGGAAATTTTTGATTTACTCTGTTCCACTGGACTTTCTGCCTTCTACAAAAATAAATTAATGCCTTTCCTGATTCTTTTAATTGCAAAGACATTGCTAAAGATAGTTTCAAGTGCTTTGAGGGTTTGCGTTTTCTTGAGACCTGGAACTGGACACCAAAGGGAGAGTGTATGCTACTGAATGAGACTGAAAATCAGTATCTAGCAGTGACTGTTCCCATGGTGAATATTTAGGGCAGCCTTTATATAGGGTCCACTTCATTTCAGTAAAAGCTAGGCAGAAGTCTATCAAGTTAAAGGCAATTTTATTTTTTTAAATATGCAAATCACCAGAGAGATGCCTAATGATGACTTTAGGAATTTTTTTTTAAATGCTAACATATTTGAAGTACATTTTTAAGGTAAAATTGAATTATGTATTTTCTATTCAGGCCTTCTCACTTAAATATTTTTTCTACTTTAGATGTAACTCTAGCGTGTTTTCATTTGCAAGGGGTGTTATCACCTGAGATGGTAAGAGAGCAGGTCTGTGGCAAGTCAAGCATGGAAGATACAGGAAGGACCCTGCTTTCTCCTGGTTGCCAGCCAGCTCATTCTCATTGCTTAAATAATATTTCATTGATCCCCTCTCTGCTTTTAACAGTTCTTCTAAGATTAGGGAATATATATATAAACTTGTTGGCATCGGTTCCAGATATTAGCATGACTGAGAGTGTTTGGTCTAGGTTATGCTGAACATTTAAAATGTTTAATTTGGGTAATCATTTACTAACATGGACAGTTAGATAGTTTATATTTTTCAACCCGGTAGTTAACTTTGTGTTAATTCTCTTGCCAGGTACATGGGTTTTTACAGAAAAAAAAAAAAAAAAAAAAGGTAAAGAACCTGATTTATTTAATAACCAAATGTAGATTTGTAGTCACATAGGGAGAATAACTGATTTTAACTAAAGATGCATTTTGAGGATGCTGTGGCTTCATAGTTTTGTCTTTATACCTGAAGTGATACCATTCACAATTGCTTAATATTATGCTACATATAATATCTATTTTCTTCGTATTTAACTTTGGTAATGTAGAAATTCATATGATTTGTAAAAAGTCTAAAGTCAGGTAAAGTTTATATAAGCATACCTAATATCAGACTTACAGCCTTTCATTTCATTCCCAACTGAAGACGCTCCCTAAGTAGAGAAAGATTTCCTCCTTTCTTGCAAACTTACTCAGTACTAACTTGAGGCTGCTAAGATGATCATGCCAGACGTGAGTTACTAAGATAATATTGACAAGACCTCCTCCTTTACAGTACTTGTGATTTAATCCTTGAGTTGAGCTTGGATTAAGTGAGTTATACAGTGTCCTCTCTTGCCTCCTCCACATTCCGTGAAAATGGTTGGTTTTTCTGCTGGAAAGGATGAGAATTGTAGATAAGTCGTGCATGATAATACATCCTTGTGTTACACGGAGGCCCAGCAATTTGGAGGAAATATGAATGCCCTTACTTGTTCTAGAACATAAACACCATGCTAACTATGTGGAGTGATACTAAAAAACACTTCTACTTTACTTTGGGTTCCAGGCTCTTGATAATACAAATAGTGCTGGTCAGTGTAGACCTCAGCCGTATGGCACACTTTAGGCCTTGTGTTCCTGCAGCCATCTAGGACCCTTGAGCCAGTGGTTTTTTTTTTTTTTTCCCTCAGAGCCACTATCCTTGGAGTTGCTGATTTTATATTCATACCAGCCTGTATCTCTGTTTGCTCTACAAAGAAATGCTTATTTCCTTTTTTGAGTAGCAAGCTGTTATCTTGTTTCTGGTTGGTGTGAAATCTGAAAGCACAGTTCTAATTTGTATCACTTAATCCAAAAATGTGTGGACTTTTAGTGAAAATAATATGCAAAAAGCCATTAGTGACTAATCATTTATTCCAAAGGAAAGTGGGGACATGTGGCAGATCTGGTGAAAGTTTTATACAATTTTAGACAGGTCTTAAATATATTTTGTTTTATAGTTATTTTACGCTGCGCTCTGTTCTATGAATATAGACTTCTTTTAATTATGTGAAGCAAGAAATTTGGTTTCAACTTAATGCAGTTCACTTGGCATCTTTATGGAATTCAGTGGTAACATTTTAATTCCTACATTTATAGTTTCTAATATGATCAACAGTGTAAAAGCTCAGAGGCCTGGATGGTTTTCTTTTGACACCATGTAGAATAGAAAAAGATGGATTCATAAAATTTAAACACACTATTCAACACACTATCCCATTATCAACACACATTCCCCAAACAATCCCAACACACATTCCCCAAACAATCCCAACACACATTCCCCAAACAATCCCAACACACATTCCCCAAAATGATATACATTGGGGAAGTGGCTCATTTTGATACGTAAATCTGAAGTCTTCCTTGTTTGTATGTTTTTTTCTCTTTTCTGACTGAAACCTGAAATGGAATTTCTAAGATTCCACCCTCAGAATTTTAGTCATTCTGAGTCATTAATTTAAAACAACTCACATTTACATGTATTTCTTTAGAAAATTGCCTCTGTGGCCATATTCTTTCATTTTATAGGTGACTTCTGGGAGCTCTCAGATTTTTGAGCTTCCCCTTGAGGGGAAGTAGACTTTTTTCCAATCTCATCTCCGGACTTCTTCTGTGACTTTTTTTTTTTTTTTTAAGATTTTATTTATTTATTTGACAGAGAGAAAGATAGCAAGAGAGGGAACGCAAGCAGGGGGAGTGGGAGAGGGAGAAGCAGGCTTCCCACAGAGCAGGGAGTACAGTGCAGGGCTCGATCCCAGGACCCTGGGATCGTGACCTGAGCCTAAGGCAGACGCTTAACAACTGAGCCACCCAGGTGCCCTCCTCTGTGATTTTTAATAGACACCTTTAGCGCTGATGGTGTATTTCCTTTTTCAGTTCAGTAGTCTTTTTAAAAAAATTTATTCACGTGTGGATAGCTAAATTCTGTTAAGTGCAAACTCGCATAACACCAAGATAAAATTTATTACTTGTCTCATGCCTTGAACTATTATAATGGATATTTTGGTAATAAGTCATTGCCCTTCATAACTTGAGGGATACAGCTGACAGGAATTATGTTTGCATGGTACGTGTGTCTGTTTTTTCCGGGGAAGACTGAGGCATGTGAAGTGTGCTTTTTTGGTTTAAACCTATGGTTATTATTTATAGCACTTAGTATTGTCAGAAAAGAGAAAAATGATCCTAATATTTCTAGGTGTATTTGATTTAAGTGTGCAGAACTTTTTTTTTTTTAAGATTTTATTTATTTATTTGAGAGAAAGCAAGAGCGAAAGAGAGAGAGCACAGGCGGAAAGAGGGGCAGAGGGAGAGGGAGATGCAGACTCCCCGTGGAGCAGGAAGCCTGACGTGGGGCTCAATCCCAGGACCCCAGGATCATGACCTGAGCTGAAGGCAGACGCTTAACCGACTGAGCCACCCAGGTGCCCCGAGAACTTTCTATTAAAGTTCTACCAAGAGGTAACACCAGTGGCCAAGGCTCAGCAGTGTGCCAAACACGTGTCAGGCACTCAGTGGACTTTCATTTGTCTGACTGAAGGAGTCCATACAGCATTATCACAAGTTACTGTGGTTCGTGCACCTTTCTTGTTGAGAAAAATAGTCACTTCATCTTTTAACCCAGGCTTTTCTTGATATTATTAATAAATTAATACCATTTCATAAATTCTCCTCCACCCCCACCTTGCATGTCCTCCTCCACACATACCCCCCCGCCTCCATGAAAGTGACCATGGGTAGATGGAAGACAGTAAGAACAAGGATTCTTAAAGGCCTGAAACCATGCAGGGCCATCTCCACTTCTCTTGGGAGGCAGGGGATACCAAGGACACCCTTGGAAATAAGGCATCCAGTGGTGTTGATTTTTGAAATGTAGATGTAGCTCATGTAGAAAATAATCACGTGTTCTTTTGTGGAAAATGCTGGAGGCTCATCATTGGAGACCTCAGTTTGCCTTTTTTAAACAGATTTTTTATTTTAGTATAGTTTTAGATTTATAGAAAAATGTGCACAGATAGTACAAAATGTCCACATAGTCCATACCCAGTTTCTGGTAACATCTTCTATTAATAGATGCATTTGTCACAGTTAATGAACCAACAGTGAGCATTATAATTAATTAAAATCCAAATCATATTCAGATTTCCTTAGCTTTTACCTAATACCTTTTTTCTGTTCCAGGATCTCATCTAGGACACCACATTACATTTAGTCATCTTGTCTCCTTAAGTGCTTTTTGGCCGTGACAGTTTCTCAGACTTCCTTGTTTTTGATGGCCTTGACATTTTGAGGAGTACCGGTCAGGTATTTTGTAGAATGCCCCTCATTTGGAATTTGGTATTTTTTCTTACGATTAGACTGAGGTTATGGGCTTGGGAGAGAAAGATCACCAGGGTAAATTGCCATTCTCATCATATCCATACTAATAACATGACTTGGCACTGTTGCTGTTCACTGTGATCACTGGGCTGAGACAGTGTTTTGCAGGTTTCTCACCCTAAAGTTGCTCTTTCCGTCCCTCTCCGTGCTATCCTCATTGGAAGGAAGTCGCTATGCATGGCCCATACTAAAGGAGAGGTGAGTTATGCTCTACCTCCTTGAGGAGGGAGAATCTACACAACTCTTCGGAATTATGCACAGGAGATTTTGTTTCTCCTCCCCTCCGTCAGTCATTTATTCAGCCAGTGATAGCAACATGGGCATATAGGTATTCTATACTTTGGGTTAGAATCCAGTAGTACTTGAATTATCTTGTTCATATTGTTCCATCTTGGCTACTGAGAGCTCTAGTCGTTGGCTCCTGTGTTCTTCTGACATACCCCCATCACTGCATTTCTCTTTGAGCACTTCCTTTTTGGCACAGTGGGATACTCCCGGCTCATCTTGCATATTTCTTTCCTTGCCCCACTCTCAGAATTGGGCATTTTTGTAAGGATAGTTCTGCATTTTTTGTAGCTTGCCTTGTAGGAGTTGTTCTGATCATGTCTCATTCATTTTTTTTTTTTTAGAAACAGTAGGCAGTTTTAAGTCAGATATTATTTCCAAGTGCCTCTTGGCCAACTCCTTGGCCTTCCTTGAAGAAGTTTGACAAGGGAAAAAAAGATATGGGAAAAGGAAAGGGTCCAAGTGGACTCTCCTGATTTGGATGGGTTGGAAATTCTGGTGTGCACCCAGAAGCACCTGTGACTGCCACTCTTCCTGAAAGCATGTCAGGTTACCACGTGGCCCGACCTTCCTGTTTAAGTGACACAGGGCTTAGCACACCCACGCCATGGGGAAGGGGTGGCCGTTTTCCCAGTGAGTAATTCCTAGAGTGATTCTAGTGTAGTGTGTGGAAGTCCCTTAGCATGTGCTTTTAACCTTAGTGGAATTCACAGACCTAGGATTTAATTTACTTAGAGAAAGACCCTTTTTCTTATAGTTGTAGAGAGAATTTTTTCAAAATTCATGTGGGGAAGCTGGCAAGAAATGTTGTTAAATCTTTTAGCTAGTTTGACGTAGGCATAAAGGAATAACAATTTCAAAATGGTTAACATAATGCTTTTTGGGCATATGAAGTACCAGCATTTAAAGACATAATCTCCTTTTAGTTGTCATAGATTCCATTTTGGCCCTGGCCACCCACTGTATTGAATAGACACACGCTTTCATTTTTGTCCTGTTTAGAAAGAGCAAGCGCCTACAGTGTCAGTTAAAAAGTAATTCAGATGAAGCAAGTCTGCTCTGTTGTGAATAGACCAAAAAATAAAAGGAACCTGTGTTTGTATCCAAATTCCAAATGTGTGATTTTTTTTTTTTATTGTCTTTATTCTTTTTCAAAAAACTGTCCTTTTAGGGGGAAAAAAAATTCTGAAAATAAACCATATTCTATACCAGGGTGGAGATTAGCGTAGGTACTATGATGATTTTCTCTAAGAATTGATCTGAGTTCTTTGCTCTGTTAAGTTTATCATAAAGTGCTAAAATTTAAGCCTGTCAAAAGGTAGACTGTGCGGCAACTCTGATTCTTTATTATTGCTAGGAATCTTCCCATAATTGGTATTTGTTTTTAGGTTAAAGCTCATTCACGCTGCAAGCTGGACACACTCTGAGCCTCCTCCTCACAATGCTGTATGTGCACAATGGTTATTAGGCAATCCACATATCAGGAAAAGGGACATTCTTCCATAAGGTAAGTGACTGAGGGTCATTGGTCGTCTGTGCAGTTCTCTTCCTTCAAATCAGCTAATGTATACTAAACACAACTCTTGCTAAAAGAAAATCCAAGTTGGCTTTGATATTGATTGGATCCTGCATAGTAGACCTCATTTAAGTGCCAAGATAATTGTCTCATTAAAAAAAAAAAAAATCTGAAGCTGATTGTTTTGAGCACATAATAATAATTATTAATTTCTTCTAATGGTCTTCAACATCTTCTCTTATAACTCTAAAAATAAGCAAAAACCATCCAAAAGGATTCTCAGTTTTAAAATTTCTAAGACCAGGGACTTGATTTTATAGTGTTGATTGAAAAAGTAGTCAAGTGAAGAGATAAGGGGGAAATCATGTTTATTAAGAAAACAAATAGGAAATTTCTCAATTTAAATTATGTTACTTAATAGTAATACGGAAGAGTTTAAAATAACTATTTTCAATGTACAAAACAACATAAGATATTTGATTTTACTCTAAGATAGGACGATTTGACCTAGTTCAGGCTTAAGTTTACCTTTGTACAATCTATAACGAGAAGTTTTACAAGATAAATTATTATTGGTAACAAGATTATCCCAAGATGTCTAACCTACATAGGAGACCATAATGTCTTTAAAGGACTTTATCACATAATTTTTTATTTTTAGAAATGGAAGCCTACTAATTAGGAGATGAGTCTAATCTATTCCTTAAAATTAGCCCAGATGGAATGGCTTCTTAGAAGCATGTTAGTTTAAGCTTCTGTAAGCTTCTGTAAAGCTTAAAAATGCATTGCAAAAGTTTTTGCATACACATGTGTAAGATGCCACTTTTCACCAATTCAATTTGGACTTTTCTTCTTCACAGGAAGGAGATCTCATTTTATATTGAGTCCACACCTCTTTTGTGACCTATTAGAGAGTGCAGAAATTCAGTATACTCCTTTTGCTTTAAAATGATTTTTTTCATGTGGTGAATCAACAGGTTGTTTCAGTTCTTAACAGTGTTTAAGTATTTTGTGTGCTCTTGGTATTCTGTATGCCTATAGAGTCAAACTTCTGGAAAACGAATTAGAAAAGTGGAAAAGATGTGGCAGAAAAAGGGGGGTGGTTAATAACAAAGTAGGGAGGACAGAAAGAGAAAAAGAAATAAAAGGAAAATACATGTTGTCTTTGCATTTTACTTTAATTCACCCTACCCACTTCCCCTTTCCCTCCCTCCCCAAACCTTTCACCCTTTGGGGCTAAAAATAAAATACTGTTGAAATACTTTTAGGGGACTCACCTAAAAGTTTTTTACTTTTTTTTCTTTAACTACTTCTCATAGTTAAAGGTCTGTAGTCTTCATAGTCTGTGAATTGTCCACTTGATACTCCATATTCACTCACTAATCTGATAGAATCCTTGAAATTGTTTATAACTGTGTGCATTAGGGAACTCAAACTCATCCAATTCTTCCTCTGCTGTCTCCCATTTTCTAGCTGCCCAGCTTCATCTTCCATTATACCTGAAATAATGCTATGTCCATGGGATCTTTGCTTTGAGTTTTCAAAAGACTACAAAAGAACTGATCTATTTCAGCAATTTAGAGCTTTATGCCTGGCTTTTTGTTTGAAATCTTTTATAATCTTAGGGAAATTTGGTCATAACAGATGCATGTTAATTAGTTGTAGTAGGGTGAACTGTCATTACTAAGATTTACATGATTTAACAGTGGAAAATTCTGTACTATTTAACAGACACACCATGAGGAGCCACGTATTCTAAATTTCGTGTATTCTGCTTCCCCTCAAAGGCTGTTCCCTGTGACCTAATGAATCCTTTGTAAAAAGCGGACTCAGCTAGGATGTTACACCACCATTGTCGAAGGAACCCTGAACTCCAGGAAGAATTGCAGATTCAGGCTGCAGTGGCCGCTGGGGATGTTCACACAGTACGGAAGATGCTAGAACAAGGCTATTCTCCCAATGGCCGGGATGCTAATGGCTGGACCCTGCTTCATTTCTCTGCAGCAAGAGGGAAGGAAAGATGTGTTCGAGTATTTCTAGAACATGGAGGTGAGTTTACCGGAAGCAAACCTTTTTTTGCCAAGGGGAAACTTAAATTCTATTTAGTTTAAAATATATGTGCCCATGTATATGAAACATTTAATGCTTCTCGTTGGTTAACACCCAACTTCTTATTCTCTCCTTCGTGAAGATTTGTTGGAATTATGCTGAGTTTTGTTCAAAATCAGATTGTTTAAAAGAGCAGTCTGGTGAATGTGCTTTTCTCCCCCTGTCACTGTAGTTTAAATGCAGCCAGGTTTTCCCAGCAACCCTTCATGTTGCCCAGTTGCTTTTGTTTCAGAAGCAGAAGTGGCTTTGGGACCCAAAATTAGAGAGTTACACAAGTTTCCCCTTTGGTAATTGCTCGTGCAAACAGAGACCTTGCACAGGTCCCTTTAAATATCATGGCCTTAATAGTAGCCTGTCTTTTTTTTTTTTTAAAAAGATTTTATTTATTTATTTGACAGAGAGATAGCGAGAGCAGGAACACAAGCAGGAGGAGTGGGAGAGGGAGAAGCAGGCCTCCCGCCGAGCAGGGAGCCCGATATATGGGGCTCGATCCCAGGACCCTGGGATCATGACCTGAGCCGAAGGCAGACGCTTAACGACTGAGCCACCCAGGTGCCCCAGTAGCCTGTCTTTTGAATTTATCTCTTTTAAAAAAACTTTTGGATGATTTCTTTTATTGCTGTTTTAGAGCTCTTGCCTTTTCCAGAATTGTACATAGTTTCTGAAGACAGGTTACCTGAGGTCTCATTCTGTATACATACACACAATTGGAAACCACCTTGGACATTCTATATGCTTTTGCTTCGAAAAACTGCCCATTCCCATAGTTAATTTCCATAATTAACAATAACTCATAATTGCCCTAAACTAGTTTACTTTTTTCCCAGTTGAATTTCTACTTATTTTCTTTTCCAGAGATGGACTATATGTATTTTATCATTTGTACCCATTTGATCTTTGTAATGATGGCGTAAGCAGCAGAATTGGGACTCAAGTTCTACACGCACCCTTCTGGAGCCTGAATTGCTCTTTGACAATCAGTTAGTTTCATTTTTAAGGTGTACTGTGTTACAAGACTAGTCAAACGGGTAAACCGCCTTGAAGTACAGAAAACTCTAGAAACCCCAGGGCTCTGGTGAGGGTTGTGTGAATCATGCGAAGCTAGGAATATGAAGGCTATGAGCAGAAACTAATTGCAGGGCACTGCTAAGCCTGAGACTGAGTCTTCACACATCCCAGGGGCCCTGTAATAGGAACTGGATCCCCGGAACAGTGGACTGTGGACAGGGCCCAGCCATTCCCTGTCCCATGCCGCTCTCCAGCCCTCCTGTTCCTCTTGCTCCTACCTCATTTCACCTTAAACCTGGGAAAGCTCACTTCCAAAGTTAATGAAGGGAAAATGGAAGGGGAACTGGAGAAAGATTGGAAAAAACTGAAGGGTGGGGTGTAGGATCAGAACACTTGGGGCGCCTGGGTGGCTCAGTCGTTAGGCGTCTGCCTTCGGCTCGGGTCATGATCCCAGGGTCCTGGGATCGAGCCCCGCATTGGGCTCTCTGCTCAGCGGGAAGCCTGCTTCTCCTTCTCCCACTCCCCCTGCTTGTGTTCCTGCTTTCACTCTCTCTCTGTCAAATAAATAAATAAAATCTTTAAAAAAAAAAAGAACACTTAAAATTCTGGCAGTGCTTACCAAGATCAGAGTTTGCAGTTTTAATCCGACCTAGTCCTGTTACTTTCTGCTGCCACAGCCTTGCTTTTAAAAAATTAACTAAAAAAAAAAAAAAAAAGTGCAATTACTCGGGTAATATTGTCTCCTTAAATAAAACAATTTTCAGATAAATTACAAATAAAGCTAAAGACCCCTTTGTCCAACTCCCAGTCCTTTCTGCCTGTCCCCTCTCAGAAGTAACCATAGGTAGGAGTTTGGGATCATTTCCTGACACTATTACTTGTACTCATAGACAATATGTCATATTGTGTTGTGTGTGGTTTTAGAACATGCATGATATCATATTGACCATATTTTCCTACAGTTGTTTTTCACTCAACTATAGAACTTAAGTTTTTTTGTTTTTGTTTTTGTCTTTGTTTTTTAATATCAGGGGTTGGCAACCTTTTTCTGTAAAAGGCCAGATAGTAAATATTTTAGGCTTTGCAAACCCTAGTGTCTCTGTCATAATTACTCAACTCTGCTTTTGTAGCATGAAAGCAGCCATAGACAATTTGGAAACGAAGGAGTGTGTCTGTGTGCCAATAAAACTTTATAAAAACCAGTGGTGGACCAAATTTGGCCTGTGGGCCTTAGTTTACTGAACCCTGTTTCTCACTCACCGTCCCCTCTGTGTGGCTGTGGGGGTGTGCACGCGTGTATATATGTGCGTGTGTGTGTAGATATTTTTTAATAGCTTTTATTGAGGTAGAATTCCTGTGCCTTACAAGTCACCCATTTAAAATGTGCATACAGTTCAGTGGCTTTTAGTGTATTTATAGAGTTGGCCATCCATCACCACAAGTTATTTTAGAACATTTTCATTACCCGAAAAAAACCCTGTGCCTGTTTTATATTAATGTAGATTTACTCTGTTCTTTTTAGCTGCTAAATATAATATTTACTAGTATGGGCATACTATTATTTGTTAAAATCATTCTGTTTTTTTTCTTTTTTTTTTTTTGAGAATGGCAGGAGATTTTATTTGTTGAGAACATAATATGTACATATATGTGGTTAAAAACCAAATGAAAGGTATTCTGGACTGTTCAACGAGGGGAAAATGCCTTTAGTGCCCGTCCCTTAGTCCCTTTCCCAGAGGCAGTCCCTCTTCCTGGTTTCTTTTGTGTCACTGCAGAGATAATCTGTGTACATAGGTGTACATAATTTTCCATCTTCCATCTTCTAGCCTGCTCCTTTTTCGTTAATAGTCTCTTCTGCATCTTGATTTTTTCACGGAGCAGTTTAGCTGGGTGAGAGTTTCTTGTCACTGTACTGACACGTTCAGATTCCGTTGCATGGATGTAATTTCTTTAAACTTATACTGCATTGTTGGACATTTTTATTTTTCATTTTTCTGCTCCTAGAAACTGTATTACAGAGAATGTCTTTGAATCATTTTTTTTAACATATGTGAGAGTTTATCTCTTGTATAATTCCTGAAGCGTAACTGCCAAATCAAAGGCATGTTACATATATATATATATTTTTTTTTTTTTTTGGTAGCTTTTTGACAGATTGTCCTCTAAAGGTTAGGATGGCTCTGTCCTTACTGATCGAGTGGGATAGTGCCTGTTCTCTCACCTTTGTCAGGAATCTGTCACCAGATGGTTTGCTCTTCCTCTGTGTGATTTGCTGGCCTCTCTCTCTTTTTTGTCCCCGAATGACATTTGAGTAACAAAACATTGCACGACTGGGCTACTTTGCTGGTCCTTTTCTTATTGATTTGTAGGAATTGTTCACATATCCTTCTTTGTTAGATCTACGTGGCACAGTTCTCTCTCAGTTTTTAGCTTTTTCACATTTCTGAGGTCATGTTTGTATGCTGTTGGGCAGAAGCCTGCATTTTAACGTAGGTGAATTTTATTTTTCTTTCGCCTTATGGCTTGTGCTTTTTGTTTTTTTAAAAGATTTTTATTTATTTGAGAGAGAGAGAGCATGAGAGGGGGGAGGGTCAGAGGGAGAAGCAGACCCCTCACTGAGCAGGGAGCCTGATGCGGGACTCGATCCCGGGACTCCAGTGTCATGACCTGAGCCGAAGGCAGCCGCTTAACCAACTGAGCCACCCAGGCTCCCTAGTTTGTGCTTTTTTATACCTTGTATATCATACCCAAAGGTCATTATTTGCCTGTATTTTCTTCTAAAAAGTTTTGTGGTGTTTAGGTCCTTAATCTATCCAGAATTGGTTTTGGTGTGTAGTAGGAGATGGTCAGGTACAATTTCATATTTTTTCCCCATAAAGGTAGCCTAAATCTTTCCTTCTGTCCCCATTGCTATGTCATTCCAACTCAAATATAAAGTCTTCATGTGTGTGTGGTTACACTGAGTCTAGCGTCTGTTGGTGGAACCCTGAGTCCCTGTAATACTGTTGTAATTAATATCGTTCTATGATAAGTTTTGATTTCCTGGAGGACGGGGGTGGGGGGAGGGCGTCAAATCTCCTCTTCTTGTTCTTTAAGGATGTTTTGGCCAGTCTTAGCCCTTTACATTTTCGTATAATATTTTAAAACAACAGAATTAAGTATTTTGGAGAAGCCGCTCATTGGTTCTTGAATAGTACCACCTTTTACTCGTTCCTATTACCGTAGCAGAATTAGGAGGTTGGGGTGTATTTTTTTCCTAGCAGGTTATGTATCAACTTGGAAACGTTAACAGGAGAAGGAACTTCCTCCTCCCTTGTCCCCTTGGTCACACGTAATGCTTCGGGGTGCTCTGTGTTTGGTCTAAGCCTGCCTTCTGACCTCGAGCCCAGTGTGTCCAACTGCTGGTTAAGACTGTACCTTCATGGCTCACACCACAGCCTGTTAGGCCAGCAATTTAGAAATCACTCTTGACTTTCTTCCCCCTAAATAGTTGCCAGATCTCCTGTCTTTTCCTCGGAGGCACTGCCCTACCTCTAGGGAAGGGAACCTTGTCCCTCACCAGGACCATGATGCTCTTCTCCATCTCTGCTTCCAATCTTGACCCCCTCCCAGCCAGTCTCCGAACAGAGTGATCTGTGATAAAAAATGAAAATTCAGGTATTTCCTTTTTAAAATCCATCCCTGAAAGTTTTCCACTTCTCTTAGGGTAATAGTCAAAGCCCTCCCTGTGACTTCCTTGGCCTGGCAATGTCTGGCCCCCCCTGCAGTATCTTTCCAGCTTCATCTTTGAGCCGCAGCCTTGCTGTGTTCATTCACGTTCACTGAGCTCCGAGGCTTTTGTGCAGGACCTGCTGGGTCCCCCAGCTCACCCCACTGCTGCCACCCTCCCCTCATTCACCCCCACTGCTCTGTCACACCCCTTTCTCAGGGAA